AAGATATGTTGATTTGAAACATCACACTTAATAGCACTCTGCGTCTACGTATTTTCATCATTACAGGTGTGATGCCAACTCCAACTTCGTTCATGAATTATATATAATATATGAACCTAAAAATGCAATCATATACAATATTTACTCTGTGCTGTTAGTGAAACAAACACATTATTTGCTCATCTGTAAGTAATTGTTAACAATGATACTTAGGTGTAGTTGATGTGATATGTCTCTTTAGATAGACAGATTTCTGGTTGGAGATACAATAAATATAACATTTATTCCACCCGTTGTCGAAGGGAACAACGTTCCATATAACACACTGCACTGCGTAGATACGTGTGCAATGAGTTTTTGTAAAAATGTGAAGATCCTTGTGAAATGTTAGAGTTGAAATCCCCCCCCCCTGCACCACACACTCAGAGGGAGTCTATTGGCAGAATTCAGCACCTCGGCAAACCTTGCACACACACACACACAAAGGCAAATATCCCCCGAATAGCATATAACCAGATATTTGGATAGGTGGTGTTAGCCAGCACCTAACGGATGGCTGGCTGGCACGGCGCTCGAGGGGGTGGTGTTTGCCAGCACCGCACCTTCCCAACGAAGTGTCGTCCACCCCCCCGCCAATGCCTTTGCTTACGATGTTTACACACATCAGGTACTCATTTAAGGATGACTCGACCTCAGGGAGGTCCAGGATCGGTTAAGATTTTGGCCAGGAGCGGGAATTGAACTGACATCGCCGGGTTTTTAGTCAAGTATCCAAACCATTACACCACTGCTCCCCAAACAAAGCAAAGATGCCTCAGTATAGCCTTAACAGACTGTTGGGGCAAGTGCTGTTCGTGAGCACCTATGAAGTTCGGAATGGCCAGCACCACGCCAGGCCGCCTTTGTCTCCCTAGCGGAAATGTTTTTACACATCACACTGGGTGCTCAATTGAGGCTGAATCGACTTAGCGGAGGTCCAGGTCCGGCTCAGATAAATCATCGCTGGTGTTGCCGGGTTAACCGCTACACTACCGCTCCCCACACATGCAGACACACAGATGCAGCCACACCACACCACGCACACAACATTTGAACCGAGCCCTGACCTTCTGCTCTCTCCCACATTCTCTACCTCTTGTAGCCTGGTCATTCTGCCCAGAGGCAGCCAGGAAAGGAAAGATGAGGTTTGGGAGGTGTGGGCAGGCAGGCTTACGTAAATGAATAAATGCAGATATTTTTAAAATAATAAGCCAAAAATGTTTGTCCCGCGCGTGATGTCACTCCACATGAGGCCCCCCTCCCTGAGGTCGACTCAGCCTCAAATGAGTACCTGGTGTGGTGTGTGAACATCGCCACTGGGGAGACAAAGGCGGTCGGGCGTGGTGCTGGCCACCCACTCCCTCGTGTACCGTTCCAACCTTCATAAGTGTTCGCTAACAGCACTTGCCCCAACAGTCTGTTTAGGCTATACGGGGGATCTTTGTCTTTGTGAGCGTGTGAGTGTTATTTTGTTTTTAAGGGTTTAACGATCCCCCCCCAACACCCCTAACTCCCCTTGCCTTACGAATGGTGGGGATTCAGGGTCACCATTCAATTCCAGAATCAATTATCTTGTTAACGCTGCGTTGGATGCAGCGTCCTCTAGTGGCTGCCCAGGTCACGAGAACCCCATTGCATATAACGCATACAAATTGTCAGTTGGATTAACTATAGTTCAATAATGGTGCTGTTGATTCTTCTCCATAGAAGAAGTGTAGGGTTTGCAATAGGCTGTTTGACAGCAGGCAATTATGTGTATATTTTTTTACTTGCATTTGTTATTTAAATTTTAAGTTGTTTAAGATTAGCGAAATCACTTAGCGGAGGTGTTTTCAAGTGCCGCCGTTCAGGTGAGTCAACATTCACGGACGTTGGTTGGATACACGGATGGGCACAGATGGCTTGATACATGTTTAATATGCAGTGTGTACCGAATGGGACCTTTTTTGGCAGTATCAGAGTATGAAAAAACAAGAATAAGTTTTACCCTTTCTGGCAATAAAACAGGAGGTGTTAAAATGTTCAAACACCAAACAGAAACCTTTTGCAAGTTTTTGGAACCCTCTTCTTGGTTCGGAATGACATTCAAACGCTGTCTTTACGACAGAACTGTTCTTCACCTGAGGACGGCTGCTTGCGTTGTAGCCGAAACGTCGTGAGAATTATTTTATAATGTTTTATTTTCATTATTTTATTAGTTCCCTTCTACGTGACTTTACCGAAAGAACCAAGAAGATGAATCCCTGCAGTCACGAAAGCTTTAAATTTTTGGAACCCATTACACAAGGAATCATGTCTGCATTAACCACACGCACTTGTGGTGTGCACCGTTTAACACGCAGGCTTTTTCTGGGGTTTGCCAAAATTCTGGAAAACCGCCTGATGAAGCTGGTTGTAATCACCAGCGGAGCGTCTTACTGAAATGTTGTGGGCTTACTCTCCAACATACCAGTATGTGCAAGTAGTAACTGATTGGCATGTTTTGTTCACGTGACAAACCTTACTAATTGGATGTGTCGGGTGGTGGCGGGTTAACGACACATTTATATTTAAGTTATCTAACCTAAAACACTTTTAGTGTATATTGTATATGCTTATGTAGGAAAAGATTGAAACATTTTCAGGCACATGACTTTCAATTATTATTGTAGCTATAACATGTATAGTTGCTGCTGAACAATTAATACTTGATTATTATGCAACTATTATTACTAATTCGAAGGCACACTTTTATTTGCATGACCTATAACGATGTATATACAACTGTTAACTAAAATAAAAAACCCTGGACTGATGTCTATCATATAATTAGACAGCTGATGATTCACACTCAACTGCCGCCACCTCAGTGCCAGATGTGCAGAGTGTTCGCTTATCGAGGTGGCTGACAGCCAGACACATTCAGAGGGGCAAAACAAAGAGCGGAGAGAAACTTTGCTTTCACCGTGAAGTGCTTACTACACATTATGACAGAGGCATGTGCGTGCCTGCTGATGGCAGCTCCAGAATGCCCTACTTGATTCACTCACGTTGTCTCGCGTACAGGCAGCCCGGCAGCCAGTGCCTCTGCTGAATCCGTTCACTTGGCTCCGAGAAACGCACGCGGCATGTGACCTCGTCTCACTTATGTCTGAAAGATTTCCGTCTCCAGTTAATACCTATGCTCTCTCTTTCTCTCGTAACATTAAGTTAATAACTGGGCGTTTTATAAAGAGTATAATTGGAGCCGTTTGTTGCCAGGATAACAAAACAAACTCCTTCATGGAAAGTTTTGTAATAGTTAAATACAGTTGCATTTCAGTTGGGTAATACATGAAGTGATTAACTATGTGCTTGAAGTAAATACAACGTCGTGTCAACCTACGCAAGTCATTGACATCAGTGTAAGGTACATGCGACCACTATATAGGATCATTCTTATCCGCGGCTCTTATACACGACTCCCATTATCTGCGGCAGCTATATGGCCCACGGAAACTCCTATTATATGTGGCCCTATTCTTCCTATTAACCGATATTATGCACGACTTTTTCCACTAGTCTTTGAGGAATGGCATCCTATTATCTGTGATTTTTTTAGTTAAGAGGAGTCACGTTCCAAATATCCTCAACGGTTTATATTCGGATGAAGTAAAGATGCGGATAAGAGGATCTGCAATATTGGTCCCCCCACATTACGGTTTACAAGATAAATGATGTACTATTAGTACTGTACGAGTAAATTGCAGTTTTATTATCTGGAGTGGGACTTGAAGGTTGTAAGAGATGAGAAATTCCTACAGATTTTGCATGCAATTTATACAATCCCAGCCTGGAAGATTCCCGCATGCACAGGGGTTACGATTCTTCATTTGGTGAATTCCATATAAAATCACCAAGCAACTTAATAGGATCCTAACAGGAATTCTGCAATTTAATAGAATTGGTTTCTATTGTGAATCTTGCTTGACTAAACTTGGCATAGCTAAGCGTTGCTGATTCCAGCTGGCCAGAATAGCGATTCTGGCTGATTCCAGGTGGCTCGAATTGACACTGAAAGGCACTGTTAGGGCCTAGAACATAGACACGCTCTGATTACACCTCAACTCTAGAAAGGAGGGAACATAGAGACTGAATGGTCATTTGAGGGCCATTCTAAGTACACAGCCTTGCCCATGTCAATGCTGGAACTAATGGTCAATGCTGATGACAGCCAATGGGTATCAACCAGAATCACCATTTAAATATAATGTAGAGGCATCAGGCGTATGTTTTAGTGGTACTTTTCACGAGGCCGGCCAAGTCCCACAGACCCTCGCATGGTACAGTATCTGAATGCCACGCTGGAATCAGGGTGGAATCAGGCTGGAATTAGGCCAAGCCTGCACACTAAATATTTGCGATACACTTGAATGGTAATTCTCGGTAACGGAAAACTGGAATCGGGGTTGATTCCATTTTTATGGCTACTCCCTATTTAAAAAAGGTTTGATGGTGGTTCTTACCAGGTCGGCCATTTCCTTGGTCCCTACCTTATTGCCTGCATGCTATATGAGGTTCCACACAGCCTGGTTTCATCATGATTCCACGATTCTGCATGTCACGTAATCCCATCGGGAATGATGTGATTCCGGAAATTTAATTGCAGTCTTAGGCCAGGATTTGTGTAAAATCTCTAAGTTCTATACATCATATGATGTTAATTTTTAGAGTAAAAATTCAGCACTGTAGTATATACAGAACTGTATAAAATATACTGCCAAGGTATGCATGCACTCTCCTATCTTGTTACATATGGATAAGTTAAATGCATTTAAAATCAAAATCTAGTCCCGTAATTTCACCAGACATATATATGGCAGTGACATTGTGCTCGTCTGTACATACACTGGTGTGGCATCAGTAGTTGCTGGTGCTGAGATAGTGCCACCCAATTTAAATATTTCCGGGGATGCGGTTGAACGTGTGTTTTGTTGGTGCAGTGAAGCAGAAAAGCCTCCGTGCTCTTGGCAGAGAGAGAGCATGTTGTGGCGTACCTCTGCCTTCCGACCCGTTTGGTTTGTTCGGGCTCACGCACTCGGACGCGTCGCTTCGTAACCTCCTTGAGGGCACGACTGAAGAAATGCAGTCGGGCCCGCCCAAGGCACGGCCTGCAAATACAGGTCAGAAGCTTGAGATTTTTAGCACACACACACACACGTGCACACGCTCTTTCAACTGGCACTCTAAACACCTTGGACAAGCATAGCCAAGCTAAGGGAGTTTGGGACGCAATGTTAAGCCATCTGGGAGGCTGCACCATAGTGTTTGGTAAAGGCAAAAGCGAATGTGCCCATTGTGCTTTTCTTTATTCATGGCTTGGAACATTTTTCAATGAACTGATTTTGTCCTACTGCAAGTTTTGTGTGTCGCACCATTAGCACACCGTCCAAAACAACTGTTTTGTTTAGCCAACGTGTCTTGTTACGTAAATGGGCTTATATTCAGATAAGAAATGGTACTGAATATGAAAAACACAGCATTATTTATGTAACACACAACCCTCGTCTGTGTCTCAGGGTAGATTTGGTTAGTGTAGCTATGTTGATAAGACTACGTGTGTATGGGACAAAACATACTCCTTAGCTGCTTAAAACACGCTCCTGGCTCTCGCATAAACTGCATTGCGACGTCATGTCTGTTGAAGGCGAACGATACATCAATCTATTCCTCTCAACGAGCTCTACACGATGTGCTAATCAAAGTTTAAAAGTTTTGTTTATGACTACGGCAATTTAGGCAACGAAGAACGAGAGGATTGATTTCCGGTGGGTCGCGGCGTTTATGTGTGTGCGTTGGGACGGAGTCGCCAAAAATGGATAAATTAATTACGATTTGGACTACCGTTTATTCTGGACCCCGGGGTCCCGCCATAAGGTTCAAATACTAAAATTCATTACGTTTCTGTTCTTAATTTTATGAAACCGTATTTTACACGTTCCTTTTGTTACTAGACTTTCCGCAGTTCAAATATGTGAATGATGAGAAGCCCCTTCAACGTAGAAAGATGCGGATTCAATGTACAATGCACATCTATTCTAGATTTGAAGCTTTCGTGACTGCAAGGATTCATATTCTTAGGTTTTTTCGGTAAAGTCACGTAGGTAAAACATTAAAATTAATAAAAGTAAAATAAAATAAAAATCACGACGTTTCGGAGGCAACACAAGCTTCCGTCTTCACACTATTGTTATGTAGGCCAGGCTTAGTCACAAACCGTACCTCTCCATAACAAAGGCTCACCGTCTTAAGCCTCACCTTACCATATGAATAAAAAGTGTGCCGTATTTGGCCCTTCCCCCCTCTCCAACCATTATATATATACGGAGTGGTAGCTCTTGCAATCTCTCATTTACTTGATACAGCTGTCGTGGCTGTGACGGTTCCACCTGAAAACGGAAGCTTGTGTTGCCTCCGAAACGTCGTGATTTTTATTTTATTTTACTTTTATTAATTTTAATGTTTTACCTACGTGACTTTACCGAAAAAACCTAAGAATATGAATACAATGCACATCTTGGCATTGTTGGCCACAGCATGGCCACACATGCAGTTATTTTGAGCTGGTGGTCAGCATAAGGCTGAGCGCTTTTGTACTTGCAATCTACACCTCTAATGTGTTCTTAAATCTGAACTCTCATATTTATGCTGACACACTACGATTCCTTCACGTGAAATGTGTTGAAAACAAATGTTTTGTTCTAACAATACACCTCAGTGCATCCCACACCAAATATCTGTTTCCTTTCCCAGAAAATCAAGAATAGAATTAATTTTTTCCAAAATGTTTTGGCCATTTGTTTGTTATTCCGAAAATATGTCATTACAATTTATTTTAACCGTTTTTAAAATGTATGGGTGACAATGCTGTAACTAAGAACACTGCCAGCAGAACGAGAGCCATTTGCAGCCGTCTGGAATGCTCTTCCTTCCGATATTAGGAAGCCATTGGAGCTATGCACTTTTAAATCATCTCGATTGAAAACTAATTTCTTGAGGACTGCTTTTTTTGTTTAGTTTTTTTGTCTTTCCCCCGCACCTCCAATTAGCACGGTCGGCTAGGTACAGTGCAAAAGAAGTTCTACATACATATTGAGACAGAGCATGTAAAAATAATAATTCTCTGTTTGCAATTTTACCACTTATGTCTCTCTGTGCTTTTGGAATGCATGCAACGTGTGAAGAACTTCCTATAAGCAGAGCCACATAATTAACACAATTACATTGTTTTCTTCCTCTAAACAAAACACAAAGTTAACTATTTGTTTAGTGCTATGTATTTTTTTAATTAAGTTAGTTTCTTTTTACTTCACATATTTCGTAACAAAGTAAGTTTTGAATAAGGGGAAAAAAACTTTAATAACAAAAGTCTTCAATTTCCCTAGAGTATGGTTTCCCTAGAGAGTTGGGTTATAACTCTATTTGTTTCAGACAAATATGTATAAACGTATTGATGCTCCACTCATGTTTCCTGTTTCCCTGCGCCGAGCTGATATTTATATCCCATCTAGTGTAGGCACTTTACCTTCCTCCACTCAAATTTACTTAAATGTGTGAAAGTTTTTGCCATTGATATTTTGGTGTCAGTTTAATAAGAAATTTGGTAATGTAACTAACTTGCAGATTTTAAATTTTAATCTCACTGCATTCGCAAAAATAATGGTAATACATTTTTATTATTTTTTATTATGTCAGTAGCATTTTATTTTCAAAAAGATTTGTTTACATATCACCATTTAAAATATCATCAAACCATTCAGACAACTGAGGTGAGTAATGTTATGATGATAACGTTGCTACAAGTGGAAAATCACTTTTTTGTATATTCACAGGATACAGTTGGCCTGTGTACAGTATTACAAAATGATAATTCAAGCCTCTGCTATTCAATACAAAGCTTTTATATCCATAAATTCACTTTAATTATAAAATAAAACTACACAGTCCTCGCCAAAACCGAGGTGAAATTATAGCCTAATTGGTGCACAAGAAAGCATGACATTCATACATCGACATAAGAAAGGCAACCAGGGCATCTTAAAACAAATTCGATTCTCCGTGAATCAAATGTATGGTCTAAAAGAAATGAACGAATCACCCTTTGTTGACACTTGCTATTTAGAACAACAGATTGAAAAAGTCGTCGTCCAATCACATATGAATATGAATCTGCAATTTGAGTGATATTCAGATGAGAAAGCCAGAGCCAATTGTGTTTAGGAAGCTGGAACGCCACCGTCCGAATAATTACATAAAGAAAATCCCACAAAATTTAAAAGCCAAAGTTACTGTTGTTGTAACTTGATGGGTTTGAAAACCTTATTGCGGCCACTGGGACATTACGTTGCATTTTGCAAGCGGATGCCTTTGGGGCATTTTAATATTTAAAACAATTATTTATTCATGCAGCAGTGTGGTGTGTACTGATTTTAAAGGGCAATGATGCATTTAACAGAGAGCAAAATTTGTACATAATGCATGGCACTGCTCTCTTTTTTTGCAATAGAAATGAAGAAGCTCGGTTTATTTTTTTATTGATGCAAATAAATTGTAACGTACCATGGACCACCACTCAATGTTATTGCGACCCGAGTTAAGGTCACTAAAAGCAATATTCCTTCACGTGGCAACCGCAGTACGTTGTTGATCTAACAAGGACCTGAAAGCAGGTATCTCATTTATTGGTTGATGTTTAAGGCTACTTTCAATTCAATCATAGTGTTAATATAACAGCTCCGGGGCATCTTCTTTCTCGCTTTTGAACGTTATCACCGTTGGAAAGATCTGCTCAGGAGATTTGAACATCTCATTTACAGCGGTCGTTCAACCCCTTCGAAGAGATATAGCGAAACGGCATTTGCATTCCGGTACCTTATATAGCCCTGCATAATCATCTAATATTGTTGTTGTTTATATCAGAAAAAAATCACAGTTACACAATCTTACAATTCCCTGCTCCATGTGTTTCCCTTAAGCATATTTTTCCCACTTTTATTGTTTACATTAACGGGCTAAGTGTCTCACTAACACAGCTACCGTTGTCCCTTTCCCCCGATGTGGCGGGAGCTCTCGTTTTTTTCTAACAGGCTATAACTGGCTGTGATGATTCTGTGTATGTGTCTCTCTCTGTGTGTGTCTCTCTCTATTTGTTTGTCTCTCTGTATGTGTCTCTATGTGTGTGACTCTCTCTCTTTGTGTCTCTCTCTGTGTCTCTCTGTGTCTCTCTATATGTGTGTGTCTCTCTCTGTGTGGGGGTTGTCTATCTGTGTGTGTCTCTCTCTCTCGTTGTGTCTCTGTGTGTGTCTCTCTCTCTGTGTCTCTCTGTGGTGTGTCTCTGTGTGTGTCTCTGTGTGTGTGTCTCTGTGTGTGTCTCTGTGTGTCTCTCTCTGTTTGTGGGTTGTCTCTCTTGTGTGTGCCTCTTGCGGGTTTTTTGTTGTTGCCCAGTTCTCTGACATCGACATGCTAATCTCATTCAGACGCTGTCCTTCCAACAGACCTGTTCTTCACCTGAGGACGGCAGCTTGCGTTGTGGCCGAAACGTTGTGAGAATTGTATTATTTGATTATGTTTTATTTTTATTATTTTATTATCTCCCTTCTATGTGACTTTACCGAAAGAACCAAGAAGATGCTAATCTTCTCATTGGCACAGCCCCTGGTTGCTGGAGCCGTCTCACATTGACATGTTAATCTCTTACATTTACATGCAAATTCGATCTCTAGCTCCGCCCACTTACCCTTGGGTTGAGCCCACCTCAAGCCTATATAACCTCGTGTTGCAGCAGCTCTTTCTCCTGCTGTGTTTGTCTCACCTGATGACGGTTGCTTGTGTTGCGATCGAAACGTCGTGATCTATTAATCTTCTATCTACGTGACTTTACCGAAAGAACCAAAGAGCGTTGTTATGCGATTATATAATTATTTCCCCACCATAAATGTTCCCATACATGTTTTACTGCTCTCTTAGATTATGGAAAAGGTGTCAAACCCAGTGCAAATGTGTATTCGAAATAGCAGTGGATAGATCATGAGAGAGGTATGGATTGAGAGAAGCTTTGAAGAGAAAATATATGCAGAATCAAAGAGGCAATGAGATTGAGAGCGCACAAAAGGCAGATTCTAGAAAAAACAGACGCATGAGAACTATATCTTTTTTTAATGGCAGGAAAGTACTCTGTGACGTTCAGTTTTTCTGTCCTATCAAGAACGTTTTCTGAAAGTTTCACTGTACTTATATAAAAAAAAGTGGATACATAGGCTCATTGACCTGCTGATTTTCTAAATCATGTCACACAGCATTTCATGTTCACCTTAAACCACTTGGAGTCATTTGATAATGTCCTCGAGCATCGCAAGAATGAATATTTGAACTGCCAGACACTTGCAATCTGCTGCTCAGAAAATATAATATTAATCACTAGGACATCCAGGCAGTCCAGATGGCATTACAAGTGCATTCCTAAAAGAAATATGTTGCTGAAGAGTATTTACATTAAGTCATGTTCTCTACATTAGCAGAGCAGGTGCTGAGATATATAACATACACACACATATATATGAATACCAGGGCTAATATGTATACATTTATATTGCTTTTTCTAGATAGGCTAGATAGCTGCAGTGATGCTAATTTGATTTTCATTTGATTATTACACGTGGCGTGTGTGAAAAGACCCAGGTTCAGAGGCAAACCGGTTTGATTTATTGGTGACCCCCAGTTATAGCACCAAGAACATCTCGGAGCTGCAAGCGGCTCCGGATCGAGATGCTGTAGGAGTTTTTCCCACTGTCTGATTAATGTTCTTCATTTACCATTCCCCCAGAGTGTAGCCCCAGCTTTTGACCAGCAAGCAATTTCCACACTGCTCTGCTCACCGACCATGAGCTCACAGAGTTGAATTGGCTCTAATCCAGTACAAACACGATTTTTTGTTAAATACTGTATATATATACATTTTATTAAATCACAATGTTCGGAAGATCAATCTTACGTGAAACATTTTACCGTAAACATGTTCCATTTCTTTTTTTGTTGTTGCAATTTTCTCACCGAAAGCAGTTTACCTGTAAATTGTGTAAATCTTTACATTTCAATGTAGGATATTTGTGTGTATTGAACGTGCATGGTGACTTGGGTTGCTTTTTTATACACTTGGTCTGGGAAACTTAAAGTTGCGTGATGATGAATCACGGATAGGGAAAGGGGATTGAGAACCACTAACTCAACAGGGAATAAAGCAACAATAGACAGCCAGACAGCATGGCACACTTTCCCTTGCGATAGTCACATAAGTCAAATGAGGCTTTGGAGGTAACCAGAAAATAGAGATGGTTGTCAGCACTGGCTGTCAATCACAACGGGGTGAAGATATTGAGCGAGCGGCACGATTTCACCCTTTGGAGATGCATATCCACGAGCAACGTCAACCTCACAAGAGAAGAGGGTTTCTCTGCAAGGTTAATTGCACGGTTATGAGTCGTCAGACTTTAAAAAGTTACATCAGATACAATAAAATTTGTTTTATATTGTGCTCCTCATGCAGAGCATCATAGGGTTCCTTACAATATACGTGCGTGCATTCGATAATTGCTCCGTTTATTTCATATGTTTTGGAATGTATTGTATTTCCCAAAAATTGCACAACTCAAATGCACGCATCCGATGTTTTCCCCTACTGTTCATTGACCTCTTTTAAGTGTAATACGTTAGTAATGCATATTAATAACTGTAACAGTATGGGCATATAAACGGCCATTAATGTCACGCAAAGATGACTGTAATCACCTTCCCAGATGTTGAATGTGTGGATAGGCAGCATCTATAATATTTAACGTATATTGAAACTTAGCTTATCAATGTGTTGTGCCAAATCCATTTAATTCAATGTAGCCTGAAACGATTCTGTGTTCACCGTTGAAATAGGTAAATTGTTTGTGACATGCAGAACACTGAAGCTCAAGGTGCGTCTCCCACCAGTTTTTCACACGGTGAAAGTTGCTCATCACTACCTTGTTGAACATTAAGAAATTATTAATTCTGTGGCGCGGATCATTATCTTTTGGAGCTGGAAATGACATTTTCCCATTAATGTTAAACTATCCTTGGGTAAGCACATCCTTACACTCGCTGGATAGGGTTTTTTTTCCCATGAACACTTTCAGAGTCAAGAAGCACTCACCTAAATTTCGATTTAAAGCTTTCGTGACTGCAGGGATTCATCTTCTTGGTTCTTTCGGTAAAGTCACGTAGAAGGGAAATAATAAAAATAAAACATAATTAAATAATTCTCACGACGTTTCGGCCACAACGCAAGCAACCGTCCTCAGGTGAAGAACAGGTCTGTCGGGAAGGTAAAAAACAGGTCTGTCTTCCCGACAGACCTGTTCTTCACCTGAGGACGGTTGCTTTCATTGTGGCCGAAACGTCGTGAGAATTATTTTATTATGTTTTATTTTTATTATTTTATTATTTCCCTTCTACGTGACTTTACCGAAAGAACCAAGAAGAAGAATCACTCACCTGTTTGCTCCTCTTCATGACAGGCTGCGGAGCATTGATCTCCACGTCGTGTCAGGCGGGCTGCCGGCACAACCGCTGACTATAAATTGTTTCTTGCTAATCTGCTCAAAGCCAGGTTTAAACCATCCAAGGACAACACAGAGTCAAGACGTGAAACCCATTGACCTCAGTTTGAAATGTAAAAGTCTGTTAAAGGCCCATTTACAACATTTTAAATATATATGCGACACTTAAATTAGCACGCCAGAGGCGAAAAGGCAAAAACATTAACACGTTAACATAGTTAAAGCACATTTGTGCTTGTTTATAAATACATAGGAGCCTATCGCAAGTTTTAAACACTCTACTTAAATAAAACAATCAGATTTGCTCGTACTTTATACCATTGTACATGTAGTACTTCAATAATACTGTTATTGAAAAAGAAAATAGAGTACATACTGAATCAAAGTGTGCAAGGAACACAATTTTGTTTGGCATTTGTTACGTTGGAAAAAAAACAACTCTGATGGTTGCCGCATTGACTGTGCTCTCGCTTCTTCTTCCAGAAGAAAGGTCGCAGCAGAATTTGCCGAAAAGAGCCTCCCTGAAGCCTACAAGGTCACCACCAGCTGTTGCCCAGCACCAGCCGGAGAAAGGTTTTGAAGGTGAATGTCTATTCCTTGTGCAGCTTCATTACTGTAAATGCATTTTGTTGCTCTATGGGAACCTCATTTGCCAGTAAAAATATGATAATTGGTTTTTTACCCTTCTATCTGGCAACAAAACTGACACCTTTTTACAAGGAGTCATGTTTGCATAGACCGCAATACCTGCAGTCATAATACAAACAAAAGAACATAACTCTGATAATGTGCACTGTCCTTGAAGTTGATTGGTCCACACCCGAGACAGCTTTCCTTAGAGCCTAGTCTCAAATGGGTTGGACCAGATGACGCCAAAAGGCGCACAACTCAAAGACAATGCACCACCAGAGTATGAGAGCTATGCAAACATGACTCCTTGTAAAAAGGTGTCAGTTTTGTTGCCAGATAGAAGGGTAAAAAACCAATTATCATTTTGTTGCTGTGATGCTCTTTAGTTACAAATATTTCTGGCGATTCATTTGTAGATACCCATTGGTTTATAATGACCCTCTTTGCTTTCTTCTCAAGAGGCAACGAACGAATTGTGAAATTGATGGCTCCGTATCTTACCAGGGAGAATGTTACAAGATTTAATGAGTGCATTGAGATTGGTTGTTGGCATGTAGCGGCGTAGACATAAAATGCAGTTTTCTCTGTGCTGTAACTTTTCCCTGTTATTTTAGTCAGGGTATCTATACATGGATCACCCCGTATATTTTGCATGGGTCTTGTGAATGAGTGGAAATTCGACTGCATAACAAACAATACAAGAAAGGATGCACTCTTAATTTAATATGTACCACAAGGTATGCATTGCTTCCTAAAGTCTAACGTATTGCAACACGCAATTAATACACAAAATGTATGCTTTGTCTAAAATGAATTTGATATGTACGTGACAATATTTGTAATAATTTTGCAGAGGCAGCAATAAAATGTTAATGAGTGCAATATCATTCCATTAAAGTCGCGCATTATTAGGTACTCGGAATCCAGGGTTTGTGAGAATCTGCGTTGTTGTCATCATTGAGTTCACTTCGCACTTTCTAGATTTTTAAATTCATATATTGGACAAGAGGCGGTAATTTACATAATCCGTGGATGGTTCAAAAAAAAAATCCAAACCTGCATCCATAATAACCTAAAGCAATAACCACCGCTATATTACGTATCATGTACAGTTTGCACAGCATATTCTTATGCGTGCAAGTTTCTTGGCAAATAATATAATAATTACGGTCAACTTGTCAATACACTGCTCAGCGAAGGCCTCGCCATGGCGTGTCGATCACGTGAGGGATTTTATCGTCCTTCACCATGCCGATCAGTGCGTGTTCGTGAAGTTCGGATGGTGCCCAGACCCCATTCAGATATCACTTAGCACTGACGTTGACCTCAGCTGAGAATCCAACTCGGGTCACTTGGTTTATAGCGCAGTGAGCCAACCACTGTGCTACTACTCCGCCCCATTGAATAATATATATGTGTACCAAGGAGAAAAGAATTCCTGCTTTAACATTCTATTTATTTCCTGGCGGTTGTTGGTCTAGCTGTAGGCAGATGAATAGCACATGGTAGCATGGCATGCTCTGATGCAGAGCAGTGTTGGCTGTATTATTGTGTCAGTGTACCATCCCATTGTGATTGCCTGATTATAATTCCCCACCTCTCCCATCTTCAACTAATTTTAATTGACACCAAGCAATCCATAGCAATTAGAATGTACCATAATTGTCCTACAAACAATTATGAAATTGGTTGGATGCAGTTACATTAACTTGAAATAAACTGCTGGCATGTCACTGGTAAACATAATAGATGCAGATGCTTTGCTTAGGTACTATGCATAAATAAATAACATAGGAGTGGTCATTTCATTAGCATGAGATACAAAAATGGAAATATTTCAATATAAGTAATTAACATTTAATTTCAGTTTTAATTATGTGTAGATCACGTAAAACACTGACTTATTCTACGATAAAAATCATAAACTGAGCAATATAGGGACCTGTAATTCACATAGCAGGCTCGTGAGTGAAGTATATCATGTACATTCGCTTTAGTATATGGCCTTCCATTTACTCTACACTATTAACCAGATTCTAGAAACTACAAATAAGTACTGCATACCTTTATTCCTGGCTATTACCAAATATGAATCAGCATTTGATGAAATGGATACTGCAGGAGTCATCCAAGCCAAGGTCTTACTAATAAAATATATTTTTAGGAACTCTACAAATAATAAAAAAACAAGGAAGCACTGCAATGAGATTGCATAAAGAGAGCTGTATAATTGAAATAAGAAGAGGTATCAGATAATGAAATAGGTTCTCACCAAGGATATTCAGAGACACATGATATTTTATAAGAACTGGTTTTGAGAATTAAAGGCAGACACACGAATGGAGAGACTGTTAGCCATGTCAGATTTGCTGATGTAAATCAATCATAACAAGGAGATAATTGAAGGGCATAACAAATAATGCTGCAAGTTTGGACTCGACAAATATGAGCAAAAACAAAAAGATGTTTGCTAAATAAATAAAAGTAATCGTTGCAGGGACACAAGTAGAAAACAATAGAGTATTTACAGCTGGGGTAGTTGTTAAATGCGTATTGGGATGAAAAGTATGAAATGGAGGTGAATATAAGAGCAGGATTGATCACTTTTGGAGGAAAATGTTTTGATCATAAAAAGTACCATACCAGTACTGTGCACGAAGACGAAACTTTTCAATATTTGTATAATCACAGATATGACACGAATGAGAAACACGGGCACAAACAAATAAAATAGAAAATAAACGTACAAAGAAGGGATGGAGAGATGTATGCCTGAAGTAAAATTTGAATGATACTGACAAAAATAGTGTTATCATATTCAGTGCTAAACTAAAACCATTTTATTTTACCATGTAAAGCCGACTGAGCTATTAGCCCTTTTACAGATGTGACCTGTCTACACATAATAGCTCATCGAAGTGGCTTATATCACGCGTGGTAATTTATAGCAGCAGCCAAATAATATAAGTGCATGTTTTCTAAACGTAGAGGGCAAAACTAGAGGACCCTGGGAAAAATCCACGTGACCACAGGGAGAGAGAACACGCAGACTCCAAATATACAGGTCTCGTCAAAGTCTGGATCGAACCCATGACCTGCATATCAGGGGAAAGAGATAACATCTCACCACCGAAATTAAGTGGGCTTTGGCAGGATACATTGTTCAAAAGGAATGATGCCCAATGGATGAGACTGGAGATGGAATGGCAACTTAAGCAGAATATACGTTTGCGAGGATGGCTAGCATGGAGCGATGAGATCAGTTCATTTGCAGGAGTGAATCGATTGCAGCATTACAGGACCATGTGTGATGGCGATTGCATGAGCAAGTTTTCATCCAGCAGTCAATACGGAATGGCTGATGACGATGCCATTCTCTGTGCACTGGTATTACAGGAGAATCACTCAGTCCATTTTACCTTTTGTTGAAAAATTGTATGCGAGCATGTTCCCATTTTTTAAAATCTTTTGGATGAAAGACAGAGATATATATACACACACATGCACACAGCATAATGTGTGCATTGTTCGTTGGTGGCATGTACAACAACATTGACAGTGTTGAATTTCCCGAGGTTGTCGACTTGATAGCAAAACCCTCATCTACAGTTCAAGTCATGTCTTAACCATGACATGCATAATTTCTCTCTTATTTAATTATACACTGGCATATGTTTAAGCATGCTAGAGTTGTTGGTAATATTTTGAGGATGCTTAAATATGCAGCGTGAAGATGAATCATATTATCACCTACGTGACTTTACCGAAAGAACCAAAGAGTAAGTAAATTGTAGATTTTTTTTTCTATATTTGTTTAAAATCTCTGTAATTCGCTATAATAATTTCATAAATGCATTCAGTTATTAAAATGATTTTGAGTTTTACATGGTGATAGCCTATATGACCTCTACACGTTTGAAATATTGTAACTTTGTATATGAGTGCGTTTGCCATTTTCAAACGCGTACATTATAGACGTGTTGGCATCATGGCCGATGTTGATACCTCATCCACTCTGTAATCAACCCACAATTGTTTTCTTTAAAAGTAATTGAAGAGTTTGTCCGGGAGGATACTTTTTAGATGAGAAAAGATCACCTTGTCGCGTATCTTTCTCAGCAAAGCCATCAAGAGGTGCATGCCAAGCTGGATTGTAAGGTTACAATGACGCTGGTATTTCAATCCGGCGAAAAAAAGGGCCTCAAACATCCTTGCGATAATCCCACACTCATGAAATATCACTTAGCAGACCAAACGATACTCATAAAAAAAATACAACTCACTACAACAACAACAACAACCCAAAGCTAGTTTGTTGTTGACAAAATAAATATCCATTCGTGGCTTTCTCACCAACGGCTCACCAACCTCAAGTCCCCCGCCTCAAGCGTACAGCTTCGAGGGTTTTGTGCCGTGTTTTTTTTTATTCTTTATAGTATCTTTGGTTACGAAATTACAGAAAAAGGGCAAATTGAATGCTAAAAATGGTAACGGGTGCAATGGGTTATGAAACCCCCCGGGGACGCAAGGGTTTGGGGGCGAGCGGTCGGCGAACTCGGCGGGCCCGCGCTCAAAAGCATCAGCTCGCAACCACATTCAGAAACGAGTCCTGAAATTGGTTCATATACGCAGGGTGGTGCTCCCCATTGCCTGAGTCAGCCTGAAATGTTGGACCCAACGCTGTGCTCAGCCTGGGGGGGGGGGCGGGGGGGAAGTGCTGCTGCTGAGCGAAATCGTGAGTCATCGGTCCCTCGTGTGCCGTCGGAGACCATGGAAACGGGGCTCTCGGCAACCCGGAGCGTGCCCCGAAAGGACAACTTTATTATAAACACTGCAGTGGCATGTTTAGCACCAAGTGGCTTCGAATAAGACTACGGGGAGCGTGTGATATAACATTAGGATCTTATGTAAAACAGCAGTGATGGTTTTTGGATGGTGGTCATTTTACAATATGCCTTTGTGTGTACTGTGAATAATCTTCTATTGTTTTAATTCCTCTCTCCGCTGCAAAAATGTTGTTATTTTCAAATCAGAAATGCGTCAAGGTAGAATGGAGGCATACAATGCATGTGAAGTGTATTTGCATGAAATAATTGTGAGGTTTTAACATACTAAATATATTCTATTGGATGCTCGGCATGTCATGTGTGTTCTGCTACAGGATGTTATAAGCTTGGCTGATGTATATTTTAGCAATTGCATGTATATTTAAGATAGTGTTCTGCATGATTGATTTTTTTTAGCAACGTGACCATATGTTTAGGTGTCATTACGTCCACGTATGACACTTGTTTATTCGCTCCAAGCGCACCGTAAAACTAACCACGAATTTGCGGAACACTTAGAGAAAACAATAACTCATCGGAAACGGCACAACAAATTGCTTGCGAGCTACCATTCGCCCACTGGTCTCCACTTTGCATTTGCATTCCGTGCCTTGACTACGGCAACCTGGGGACACGTTCAGTGCAGAGGTCTCCTGAGCGAGCGCTATTACGACTGATAATGAATGCCAGCCATGAGCACTGTTTTTAGCATGCCCCCCACCTCTCTCTCCCATTGCAGTTGGCGCCCACTCGTACTGAGTGAGTGTCGGCTGTCACCTATGCTTGCCCGCCTGTTGGCTGCCGTGCAGATTTGCACAGTCCTGCTTGGGTGTACAATGTTCATTGGCCATTAATGTACGCCTCTGTAGTGTGGCATTGACAAATTACACGGCAGGTGAAGGTTGATTCCTTGCACATTTGGAAATTGTATTCCACTCGTAATTTTCCCACAAGTTACGTGTAAGTCACTGTAAGTAACTGTTTAGTGTACAATGTGATATGTTTACTGTTAGAGCTTACTAGGGCATAAGGCAGTCATTTAACAATTAAACTCAGCAAGATCTGTAACATCTACCCATGAGCCAGTAGACTAAATGACCCTCCACTATGGTGACAATTATTTAAATAGAGCACGGAGTAGCACCCCATCAAAGCCCTGGAGTACAGTGGTCAGCATGAAAGTAAGATAAATTAGAAGACACTAATTGATTGAAGAAGGAAGTTTTAGATATAGTGTTAATTATACGCAATAACTGCAGACCAATTTTAAATATAGTTCAAAGGAATTACATGTGCTTAAATTCTACCTTCAATAATACTGTTTTGTCACTGGTCTCTTGGCATTTTGGGAATGTGGGCCTCTGATTAAAAAAAACATAGATAATTATATGAACATAATCTAAAGGGTGACTGTAAAACATAGTACTGTGTACAATTTCAGCAAGTGTCTTGTACTGTTCCACATTAGTAGCGTGTTGCTTTGTGCTTTTCACCACGGCGTTTTGCAGATGCGTCTGCCAACCAGGACCCAACGCGCGACCACTTTGCGGGCATGAAGACACCTGGGCAGCAGCAGCTCATCACGCTGCAGGAGCAGGTGAAGGCTGGCTTGATCTCCATCGACGAGGCGGTCATTCGCTTCAAGGCGAATCAGATCGACGAGAAGCGCCGCATGGCCTCTTTCAAGTTCCATGAGGTGTGAGCATGGGCTTCAGTGGGTGCAGCCTGGGGCCTCACATTTTGTGCCCCCCCCCCCCATCCACCACAAAAAATATATACATTTAACTATAATGGTTGAAACACAATAATGTCGAATTTTTATTTAAAGCTTTCGTGACTGGAGGGATTCATATTCTTGGTTCTTACGTGACTTTACCGAAAGAACCAAGAATACTATAATGTAACACAATGTATGTATAAGGGGTGCCATGGTGGCGAGATGTTAACTTCCTTGTCTGGTATGCAGGAGGTCGTGGGTTTGATCCCGACCCTGATACCTGTTGTATATTTGGAGTTTGCATGTTCTTCCTGTGGTCGCATGGATTTTTCTCCAGGTCCTTTGGTTTTAGAGTATTTGGCAGTTATACATTTTCACATGATAAGCTGCTTCATGAAGCTATCATTTGTGGGCAGGTCGCTTCTGAAAAAGAGCTAATAAGATCAGTGGGCCTTACCTGATCAAATAAAAAATAGTTTAGTTTATTTATGTTTGTTGAACTTATTTTGCACCGGACGTAGCCAACAATGCTAATCGATGACGAATCAAAAAAAGAATCCTGATCAACAGGTACTTTGGTAATTCCAGCCATAGCATCGCTATGTGCATTACTACAAGTTTTCAACCCAAATGGAAGCAGTTTCGCAATATTACAGTGCATACATTACATTTTAAAAATCAACCCCTCACATGTAATCCAACCTTGGGTACATGCGTCATTGCCAATGCAGTGCATGCACCTATGTTGAACTTCTTTCGCACCATACGTAGTCAACCATGCTAATTTCACATGCAGGAAAATGACAAACTAAACACAAAAAGCAGTTCAAAAGAAATGGGTGTTCAATCCAGGTAATTTAAAATTGCATAGCTCCAGTGGCTTCCTAATATTGGAAGGAAGGGCGATCCAGATGACCGCTGAAGACCTTCTGAAAGCGCGCGATGCTAGTGAACATCGTTGTTCAATGACTAGCCAAAAGCTGCTGCTGCGAGAATGACTGGAGTTTGCATGATGGTTTATGCTCCTTGATGAGATCAGCAAAGGCAGTGACGTGACTCCATTATCAGCTCAGGGGGTGTAGTAATCGGTCAGATGGAGCCCCATTATTTGATTTGTCTCGGTACGGTCGCATCCTAGGCTATTATATATCGCGGCTCCTCTCGCCTAATCACATCGTTACCCTCACGGTCTCGAACATTTAACGTTGTATGGGCGCTCTATCTTCGCAAAATTCAGCCACTACAGCTCCGTCGTACCTCTCTTCAATTCTAGATTTGAAGCTTTCGTGACTGCAAGAATTCATACTCTTAGGTTTCTTCGGTAAAGTCACGTAGGTAAAAAATAAAATTAAAATTAGTCAAAGTAATCATAGAAATAAAATAATAAATCACGACGTTTCGGAGGCAACACAAGTCTCCGTCATCAGGTGGGACCGTCACAGCTAGATTTACTGTATCAAGTACAGCAATTTTACTATTTTACTAAAAAGCTATTTTACTATTTTACTGTACCTCTTTGCAATATTGCGTTACTGATCCAATTAAATTTCAATTAAACGTGGAACGCTAATGAAAAAATGTTCATAGAAATGTTTTAGCCGCGTTTCAAATGAGCGTTTTGTTCTTTTACACTTGTTGAAAACATATCGCACAGTGGTTGTCAAGGGGGGCCCCAACTCGTAGCTTTGGCCACCAGGGGGGGGCGGGGCACCCCCTGCCCCCACGCTCGTTACGCTACTGCAGCGAGACACTGTGGTTAATTTGTGGCCAAGCACTTTGTGTGTAAGCGGCGTCGCAACGCGGCGTAGTAACCCAGCGGAAGGAGGTGCCCTCGTGGCGTCGCACGCTTGGTCTCTGTGTCCACGGCTAGGAGTTGTGGGCCCTAAGTTCCAAGGTCTGTCTCACCCCCTCTGCCCCCCCCCCCCTCGTACGTAGCGACATGCTGTGAGGATCGCTGTCGAACAAGTGAAGTGTCATTTGTAAGGGCATGTTCAAGCTGTTGACCTTTGGGTTTAAATATCCTACGACCTTGCTCTCCAATAGTTGGTCATTGTGCTGTTATTCTCTGGATAATTGAATTGAAAAGGCACTGGTGACGCCTTTTAAAACGGGAATATTTTCATCCTAATGGAGCAAGAAAGCGGTTGAAAGGTCGTGTTTGTAAATGTACAAAAGTAATGAAAATTTGACCTATAACATCATATGGCTGGGCCATGGTGGATTTCTAGAAAATTACACGTTTAAGTATTTTATATGATGCCAACATTTATCTATTAAAATTATGTTTTTTCACTATTTGCCTGTGTGTGTAAGTAACACTTAAGAGCATTACTTATCCAAAAGTTAACCTCACATTTGTCTACATCATTTAAAATACTTCAATCAACTAGCTGTCATTTCGTTCTGTTTTGTTTTGTATCAGTGTTTTGAGGCATGAAGACTCGGGAAATTATTTATTTAGGAGGAGCTGTCTAGGGTTATTTTTTTAAATGAGTATGAGGTTGACTGTGTCACTTGTAACATAATGGATAATTGTGCTCTTTTTAAATGCCTGTCATTCACGTAATTTATAGAAAGTGCTTTAATAACTTTTTGGCCTGCGCATTTCTGTCGTGATTTAATTAGATTGCACAATGGGTTTTTTTTCTTTCACTTATTCACAAAATAATGGAATGCAAAACAGTGTTTGCCAAATGTAATAAGTAAAATAATAAAGATTTCTTGAAGTTATGTTTGGATCTAATAAAAATTTAAAACACGACTATTCCATTTCATCACATTTTTGTTTCTTTTGCTAACGTGTTCAATTGTGGTATTCCATGTAATGAGCATGTTTGATGGATTGAATCTCAAGTGTATCATTTACACAGGTGATCGGAGAATACATTATACTTCTGGCTCATTTATTATATAAAGATTACATAATATGTAATGAAAGACACTCATTATTTCTTCCCTGACCAGTGAGATGAATTAATTGCGTTATGAATTGAAACATGATGACGAACAGGAAAGTATAGTTAACGTCGCTCATTTGTAAATTGTCATCAAATAAAATGTTCTTAATTTGTATAAAGCTGTTTAATATTGTGTACAATTCTACGCAGATCTCAGTTTATGTTGGCGTGTTTTTTTTTATATCTCCAGGAAAATCTTAAAAGCATCCGGGAAAGCATCGCCCGGAGAAAAAAAGAACCCAGTCCAAGGCAACCAGGTAACGTGTGGGTCCACTGCTCAGGATGTTTTCATGAAAAAAAGACTCTTGAGACGTGAAGATATACTGTGATGAATACGAAAAACTCTGTGTGGTACATTCCTCATATGTAACCGTATATGGAGTCACTGCCACAGGTGCCTTATCCATGGAATGCTCCTCCCCATAACTTAAGGGACTGTCAGTGGGTTGAGTCTTTTAGGTCGCGTCTTAAAACATTTGTTTTCACTTGCATACACGTCTGTGTAGGTTACGTGCCTTTTGTATTGCCTTACTCCTTTCTAGTTGTATTCAATCGAATCTGTTAAGGGTTGGGCTATATGTAAAGTGCTGTGGAGGACCTTGTGTAAATGGTGCTGAAAAAAATCGAGTTTTTGTGAGTTAATCTCAATGTATTAATCGATTATTTCTGTAACATAATGTACATATACAGCTCTTTTATCTATCCGCTGCTGGATGAGGACGTCTTCAAACCATGTGGGTCATGAGGATTATTTAATCGTGCTTAACCACGCTGGTCACTGTGGGTTGGTGAAGAGAGTAATGGAACGTCACGTATAATCACTCTCCTTAAAAAAAACTGGAATTCCATCACATGCCATAGCAAAGTTGGGAGCAAGTGATGTTGAGATAGAAAACACATCTGTCAGTTTCTTTACAACTTACATTTTCGCTTACATTCTCACTCAGGTGCTGAATCTGTACGATTGTTCTCAGTGACAGCTTGCTTCCACTGAAGGAAACTGCCATACATCAATTCCAAGCATGTATGTTATCAATAAAAGCAACACGAGTTTCACCGTATGGCACGATAGCAAAAAAACAACAACTCGCGTGGATATATTCCACTCGAGAGAGAGGTGTTTCGAGTAAAAATAAATAAGTCCATTTATTTCCACATCTGAAGGGAAAAAATATTTGTGAACGTGTAAGTAAGCTTTGATATTACAGACGGTGTCTTTTGGCCATTTACTAGCATGCGGCAGCTTGCCATGGATATGGCTTTGATGCGCAGCCAGATGAATGTCCCATGCAGTTCACTGCATGCTGCCCCATGCAGTGACGTAAGCACATGGCACAGATCCTGAAATTACAATTCATCCAGTTACCCTTGAGCTCAAAGGTGAGCTGTGTAATTTAAACCTATAAAACGTTTTGCATGTGTAATTTATTGCCCCAGTGAGTGCAAGTTTTGCTACTGCGTTTGTGCATGTGCAAAGTATGCAATGTCATTCAAATGAACACAACAGAATGAAAAGATAACATATTTTTCCAAGTCACCAATATGAATGTTGGGATTACATGGTTCACGCAAATTATATGGAGATGTATAATGCTGTTATGCGCTATGGGCATGCCTCACTCGGCCTTCTGGAAACACCCTAGATGAGAGGCATGCTAGCTCCACATGTGAACTGAACATTAAATACAGGCTGTTTATTTTAATGGGCGAGTGCACCTCATAGGCTTTTATTTGCACAAACACAGGGATGCCTTGGTGTCTCTGCTCAGAACATAATGTCTCTTTTTTTTTTAAAGCGACGTTATGGACAAAGTCCTTCACGCACTTTTGTTGGTCACGGGCAGGGGTCAGCAACCTGCGGCTCCGGAACCGCATACGGGTCTTTGAGGGCTGCTTCGTGATGCTATTCACATTGCATTGTGGCTCTTGAAATATTGATTTATTTACTTTTACCAAATTTGAGAGAGAAAAAATGCCTCTTGTCATTTTGATTGCTGATCACTGATTATTGGGGGTTGTTTGACCATACTTCACCACGCTGGTCATTGGGGGTTGTTTGATCAAACTTCACCATGCTGGTCATTGGGGGTTGTTTGATCATTCTTCACCACGCTGGTCATTGGGGGTTGTTTGACCATACTTCACCATGCTGGTCATTGGGGGTTGTTTGATCATTCTTCACCATGCTGATTATTGGGGGTTGTTTGACCATAATTCACCACGCTGGTCGTTGGGGGTTGTTTGATCAAACTTCACCATGCTGGTCATTGGGGGTTGTTTGATCAAACTTCACCATGCTGGTCATTGGGGGTTGTTTGACCATACTTCACCACGCTGGTCATTGGGGGTTGTTTGACCAAACTTCACCACGCTGGTCATTGGGGGTTGTTTGACCATACTTCACCACGCTGGTCATTGGGGGTTGTTTGACCATACTTCACCACGCTGGTCATTGGGGGTTGTTTGACCATACTTCACCACGCTGGTCATTGGGGGTTGTTTGACCAAACTTCACCACGCTGGTCATTGGGGGTTGTTTGACCATACTTCACCACGCTGGTCGTTGGGGGTTGTTTGACCATACTTCACCACGCTGGTCATTGGGGGTTGTTTGACCATACTTCACCACGCTGGTCATTGGGGGTTGTTTGACCATACTTTACTTCACCACGCTGGTCATTGGGGGTGTTTGATCAAACTTCACCATGCTGGTCATTGGGGGTTGTTTGACCATACTTCACCACGCTGGTCATTGGGGGTTGTTTGATCAAACTTCACCATGCTGGTCATTGGGGGTTGTTTGACCATACTTCACCACGCTGGTCATTGGGGGTTGTTTGACCATACTTCACCACGCTGGTCATTGGGGGTTGTTTGACCATACTTCACCACGCTGGTCATTGGGGGGTTGTTTGACCATACTCACCACGCTGGTCATTGGGGGTTGTTTGACCATACTTCACCACGCTGGTCATTGGGGGTTGTTTGACCATACTTCACCACGCTGGTCATTGGGGGTTGTTTGATCAAACTTCACCATGCTGGTCATTGGGGGTTGTTTGACCATACTTCACCACGCTGGTCATTGGGGGTTGTTTGATCAAACTTCACCATGCTGGTCATTGGGGGTTGTTTGACCATACTTCACCACGCTGGTCATTGGGGGTTGTTTGACCATACTTCACCACGCTGGCCAGTGTGGGTTGGTGAAAGGGGAGCCTAGGATTCATCAGACAGCACTCACCACTAATGTCAGCTATGGCCAGGAAACAAACTCAGGATAAGGAATGTTATTAGTTTTTTTTTACCACGTGCAGCTTGCAAATTTGTACCCCTTAATGATATCGGTGTTACAATGCTGGCATCATGTTGTCCTTTATATATTTATATATAGCACAAAAAACTCTTATGGATTATATTGGTCGCGAAAGTCTACGTGTTAAAATGAAATAGAGGCTTGCAGAGTGATTTACTCATGCTTTCTATTTTTGTAACCAACATTAAAAAAATGTGAACATTTTAAACTGCTATATTCTTGGTTCTTTCAGTAAAGTCACGTAAATAGAAAACAAAAAACAAAAATAAAAGCAAAAAACCACGACATTTCGATCGCAACACAAGCGGTCTTCCTCAGGCGGATTGTGTTGCGATCGAAACGTCGTGGGTTTTTTTGCTTTCATTTTTGCTTTTTTTTTCTATTTATGTGATTTTACCGAAAGAACCAAGAATATGAATTCCTGCATTCAGGAAAGTTTTAAGTCAAAATTTTAAACTGCTATTCTGGAAATCAATTCAACAAAAAAAATGTCAGTGCAGTAATGTATTTACTTTGTTACTTTTATAATGATGCAGTGTGTGGACTATTTGGCCATTTAAATACGAAAATCATTAGCAATCCCGGTCTATGTGTGTCATTCATTCGAATGAATGACTCTTTGGTTGAAAAAATGAGATGCCATTATGTATCTTCCACAGTGTGGCTATTATTTCCTCTGAAATGGATTTGCTGCACAAATAAGATATTTTGGTTTCTACCATGTGAGGATTTTTTGTAAGTTATAAAATAACTGGATTACAGTATATGTAATTAGTCAAAACTTTTAAGACATGTAAATTCACAAATGGTATTCAAGATAATTTCTGACAATAAAGAAAAACAAGTTGGTTTATGTAAAAACTTTAAATTTTTACTGCCTTGAAAATAAAAAGTCATGTTTTACTAAGTATTTATATATATTTAATTAATTAAGATGCAACAATAAGTGGTGGGCAGCGACCGCGACGATGGTGGGTTTTCCACCAATTAAAGGTCGTTGCCCACCACTTACATTAACATTAGCTGCCCCGCCCATGCTGCTGACATTTGGGCTATGCCCATTTCAAACCTTTATTAACAGTTTGCCTTTAGAAGCTAACCCCCTGTTCCTAATGACGACCGCTTGTGTTGCGATCGAAACGTCGTAGTTTTTTGTTATTTTCTTTGAACCTATCTATGTGACTTTACCGAAAGACCCAAAGAATACAGTCTACATTTGTATTTGTCTTTCTTGATGCCTATTGCTTGGCCACATTATCTACATTTTTGTAGTCGGTGGTCTAAAACAATCAAACGACCACACGTGCAATTCTTTGGAACTTGGTCATTTGCATCCTTTTGTAATGGATTTTCTCACCATTTTTTGTTGTCCTTTACAGATTTGAAAGAGGATATACCTGTCGGCCTGTATGAATCTCTGCCATCAAAAGAGTTTCCTTTTCCGAGCCAAGGGGCGTTCCGTCACCGTCCCATGCGTGACTCTACCTCCAGCACGACAAGTGAGACTCGCTTAGAATTGATGCGGCGTGTGGAATACATTTGCCGTTTAATACTGTGACATTATCGTCACCTCCGGTGGTACGTTTTGTCACGCGTTCACATGCAAGGGATGATCTGCTGAGGATGAATCAGACTGGTCTCCCATGCTCACCAGATGTGTCGGGACAATGTTTGCATCTTTGCACCACCTACAGCGGTGACTCACTTGGCTATTGCCGAGTGCCCATATTGCCTCATCATATGTTATCATACATTTATATAGTGCCTTAACCAAGGCATTGTACAGTGAACTAACAATAGTAAAAGATGGTTGGCTAGATGAAACGAGATGAGTGGATGGGATATGTGTAAAATGAGGTGGTGGTGGTGGTGATGATGCGTGGAATAAACGAAGATAGAAATGGGATGAGTGGATTGATGATGAGTGACCATGGGGAGTTGGGAACAGGAAAGGCGTTCGTACGAGTGGAGAGGACAGCAAGGAGAGAAGGAAGGGTGGGCAAGAGAGAATAAGTGGTTTAGGGAGAAGAGTAGAAGGTATTGAGAGAGGGTGATTGTTTGACATGGGTGGACTGTTTAAACACTGCATAAAGGTTCACACCACAAACTTAAACCACATGTGTGTGCTTGGTCTGCTGTAACGAAAACCAAATTTTCTATGCATTAGACAATTATACATTACACATTCTTCAATTAAAAGACAGCAATTAATGATGATGATGATTATTATGGTGATACTGTAAGAGGAGTCATTGACAGCATTTATGTATGTAGGTGCACGTGCTTGTTATGTCTTAAAAACGACGATAAATAAAATAAAAAACCTGCAAATTATGAGAAAAAAACAACGGAACAGGAAAATCATTCAGGCTGCAAAGACGCAGAAATCAGCACGCAAGGATGTGCTGCTGCTCACAAACAGCAGGAAGGCACGACTCCCATCATGCCTTGCATGCCATGTGACTCAAATGACATGTACGATGCTCTTACCCTTGTCTAGATCATCAGCTCAAAAGAGAGCTGAATGAGTGCCCGTATTATTGTTTAGACTACCAATTAATTTTTTTTATGTTCCTATCCTATCAGGCAGCAAGAAAGATATAACTACACAGGCTGCGCTAGTTTGCTTTGTTTTAGTATGATATATAATAACTTAAATAACGTAATGTTGATCATTGTCATCATTTAATATTTGTACTCCAGTAGCCACAGCCATCCTCGTAAACTAGTAAACGCGATGATATCATTATCTTGCGGGACTCCTGGCCATGCAGAATGGCTCACCCCCAGATTGCAGAATGTGCTTCTATTGCGCGTATAAATCACAAAAACTGATGCATCGCCACTAGCCTGCGATGTTCTTATAATAGTGGTACAATATACAGCACTGCACGTAATAACCAAGCACTGTGGTACATAGCATTTATGAGCTAGCCTTTGTGCAATAAAATTATAGTCATATCTCCAATATGACACATTTATGTAATTTTAATTGGCCCAACTTAAAAATGTATTTAAACCTCCAGTTTAGTGTATCTGTGTATATATGATGTATGGGGACAGAAACTGAGTGTTCATTGATAACAAAAAAATCCTCTTTAAGCTTTTGATATTTGTGTGGAAGAAATAGCAACATTCATACATTCACCATCAACCTAGCAAATACCTAACCTACCACCTATTTCTTTAGAAATTTTAACTCAAGCGTTTTCACATTGTTTTATACAGGGCCAGCATTCTGACATTGGCAACGCTTTAATGTTTGGCTTTAAAACATCATATGCAATTTTTTATTCCAGTGATTTCCGGATATATTTGAAATGTTAAATTGCCCACGGAAAGGGGGACCAAGGTTAAAATACCATCTTAAAGGAAGAGCTATCAAAACATATAAAAAATACAATTTGCCAACCAGAAGGATGTAATATAACTTTTAAAAAAAATTGTAACCTTTATTCAGAAATGACTGTGTGTGTGACTTCAGATGGGTTGGAACTTCACGTGGGGAGTGGTAGTGTAGCGGTTAGCGCGCTGTGCTACGAACCCAGCGACCGAGTTCGATTCCCGCTCATGGCAAACACCGGTGACGATTATTTGAACCGGTCTTGGGCCTCCCCTAGATCGACTCAGCCTCAAATGAGTACCTGGTGCGGTGTGTAAACATCGCCACTGGGGAGACAAAGGTCGTCGGAAGTGGTGCTGGCCACCCACCCCCTCGTGTGCCGTTCCGGCCTTCATAGGTGCACGCTAACAACACTTGCCCCAACAGTTTGTTAAGGATATACGGGGGATATTTGTCTTCATCGTCAAATCGCCCTGCATCCAGCCAGTTACTGTGGACCACAAAGGCAAACAACAAATGACGGAGCGGGAATGTAGCACGGTGGCAATTGCTACCGGTGAGTTGAGCTGTAATGCTCAGCGATTGTGGTTGTCTACCAAGCACTTGCTTGTAGAACGGGAAGCTGATCAGGTGAATATGATTCCAGATAAGGCTTTTGAAACCAGTCCGCTGCTGCTGCTGTTCTACGTTGCCGTGCAGCACTTGACCTACGTTACAGTCTGTTATCGGCTACACGGGGGATCTTTGTCTTTGACGCCACCATGTGTTTGCGGCTGCTGCTACATGAGCCACCTGTTCTACAGCAAGCTTATGTCTCTCTGATGTTTCGGAGAAATTTTCATCTATTTAAATGAAAATACTCGTTCCGCTTTACAATTAAACAAAACGTGCGATACTGCATTAGCAGTGTTGCCCAACAAAAACCTCAGCACGTGTCAGAACATCTGCGGGAAAGAGCAAAATAAAACAATCACCTTTTCCCCCCTCGTTATGGCAGGGTTACTGACGAATGTGAGTTTTATTTTGTAATTTGTGCATTCCACTTCTGTCTTTACAATGTGTTCAACATGCACATTTTCTAGCAAAGTGTTCGACTGCATTTTAATGATAACAATTTGTTTTAACCCATAGCTGCACGTGTTCTCATTATGAATTGTGCGTCTCCGTTCTGAATTTGTGGGACATCACAAAAGAAGTTGACATTGTATCGACAAAGCGATTATAAAATATGGATAGGGGTGGTTGTGCTGCATGTGAATTGGTAAGAGATTGATTTTAACAAGCAATACAACTTACTTGGCATGGAGGAAGCCATTCCCCGTGAGTGCAGAAAAGCTAGAGATCAATTAAGATTTTGCTATCACTGTGTAATATCCTTATAGCAGAATAAGCAAAATATATACATTTAAATGATACACCTCCAGTGATAATAACAATGCATTCAGAATGGGCATACAGCACTACATACTAAAAATGAATTTACTATTTAAAGCTTGACAAAGCTATCTTATCAGAAAACATTAAAAGGCAACGTCTCAAACAATGGTCCTTAAGTACATAAATACAGAGGACCTAATAAGAATCACATTTTTTATGTTTGCTGATGGACAGTTTTTAAACTGACATGAATAGTTACCTGGTAACTGTAAATTGGCATAAGAATTTAATTAGTGTCAGTTCCCATTGGTGTAAAATGCATTCTCCAACTTATCCGCTCTGTTTCTCTGGCCCTCCGTATGTATGCGCTTTGAAGGACCATTCAACAAAATGTAATCTTGTTTTTATTTGTCCTTCTAAGGCCACGCTGTTATTGACGTGTGTGTTGAGGATTTTTGTTTGTTATTTGTGCTTTCACACCACTGCCAATGCAGTATAACCAATTTTTTTTTATTTCATCAGAGCATATTGCACAAGTTACATGTCTCCTAATATATGTGACCAGAGAGGTAATGACATTCTGAAGCGTTGATATCGACACGCGCATGTGGACGAAGCAGCAATTAGAGCTGGCCTACGTACAGATAATTTGCAATTAGCAAGATAAATATTGCAATAGTGAGCAAACATTTGGTGAAGGTAAAATGGTGGTCCGTTGAAAATGTCGTCTGAAACATGTGACCTGAAAAACCAGGAGCTCTTTACAACAAACTAGAGAATGTTTACAGAGGGTTTCTTCAGAGAGTTTTTTCAGTCCTGAGTTAACCCAATGTGTCCATCATTTATCCAATTTCCCAGTGATTATCTTTATAATTAGAAAACTAAAATATATTGAGAACCAGGAACTAAATTTTAAAGGCACATTTTAATAAAACTTCACGTCACAATATATTCATAAAATCATGGGTTTATATATGTATACGATATATGTAAATTATAATTTATGTTTATTAAAAAGATGAGTGTCGTTACTTTTTTTGTTCGTGTTTTAATTAAATTACATTGATAAGGTTTATATACAAAGCAGAATATTGTCTCATTTTAGTTTTTTTATGACTGTTCCTGTCAGTTATTGCAAAGTGAAATAGAAAATTAATGAGACCCAAATGCATTAATAAATACACGAACGTATAACAAAAATAAAAAATACTTTTCCAATATGGTGAGGTTGTGAAATGTGCATTGCAACTCCCTATTATCTCACTGCAGAATGACTTTGTATCCAATTAATCCCAAACATCACAAGCTCAGAAAGCATCCGAATGGTTCAGTACCCCACTGCGCTTAGTGAGTGTCTCATAGACTACAGTGCATGCTGTTAATGGGACTCTGGGCACTTGCTGAGCCCAACTGCAGGCTCAATACTAAATAACTGTTACCAAAATAGAACTATCCATGGTGCATTGCTTAACACCTGTGTTGGCTCAGGGGACTCTTATTTCACATGCATAAAGGCGTGGCCAGTAACCATAGAGAGAGAGCCTCGTATTTTTGGCACACGGTTGGGTTTACCCGGCGCTTAATATTCTCTGGCACAAAAATCCAGTACTGCTTTGAATTCCATCGTTGCAGCGAGGGGTCACCGCAGCATTTCCCCATATAATCTCCGTATTGAGCTGCGGAGGGGGAATTTGACGAGGCTGCCTGTACCCCTTCAACTGTTGAGGGCAGTGAGTAATTACGAGTGGATTTTCCATAAAAATGTGGCAATGCCATGTGGGGATTCAATAGATTATACTTGTGCATGTACTTACTCATCCTCACCAAGGATGGTCTCACACAATGGTGATTAAATGAGAGCTTTAAATTAAATGCTTTTGACTTAAGAGGCAAGCATGCTATACTTGTTGCCAATCAGCCACCCTCCACGATAACACTAAGCATTATTTTACAAAATCAGGATGCTTAATAATAATCAGACACACCTTAACGCACGTATTTGTATCTCATATGTTTTCTCAAATAAGACATGAAATGTACATAAAATATTTCAAGCGATGTGTCATTGAAAAAAAGTATATGCAATATTAAAACACACGCGGGCCTGGCATCTGAGGATGTCAGTAGATACGCACCCACTGTTGTACAATTACTATAATGTTGATTTATACAATGCAACTGCATTTCAAGACTCTAGACAGATATAATGGGAATATTTTATTTTTTATTACAGGGAGGCAGTCAGACATAGGTAGATAAGAAAGAAGATTTTGGGCTTGAACAGGCTCCAGGGAGTCAACAGCACAGACGACTGGGGAAGGGGGGGTTCCGAGTATGGGGCAGCAGAGAATAATGAGCCACCATCTGCTCAAAGTTAAGATTGGCCGGGGGCTTTTGACAGAAAGCCTTAATTGCGGAAATTGAGAATGCGTGGAGTAGAGTGAGATGAGAGGCCGGGGCAAGTCGATGGAGAATATTTTAACACGGTGTGGATATGATGTTGAAGTTGATTGAGGACTGGATTGAGAGCCAGTGGGAGGGTGATGTGGGTCTCATTTTTGGATGCAGGTGAGCATTCTGGCAGCATCAATTTTGAATCATTTGAGATTTGGATAAGATGGATTTGGGGTTGACCCCATAGAACAGAGTTTCAGTAATCGAGTCACGATATGATTAGGATCTCAGCACAAGCCGAGCTAAGGAAATTGATTCGTCTTGTTTGCCCATCCAAGAATGCAGTTACTGCCTCAAAGTACTTGTTGCCCTTTTGTCCTTACAGAGTTGGATGGAGATAGACAATTCTCACGATTCCTAGCACTGAGTGTTATTTTCTCCCAAGGTGGAGTCCTAAAGCGCGCGCGTGTGTGTGTGTTGTGTTGCCCTGTGCCCACAGGCTCCGTCAGCAGCCGCTCAAGCACTCGCAGTTTGCAGAGCCTGAGCAGCGGCGCAGAGGCAGACATCGAGGTGACTGACATTCTCACTTCCCAAGCCTCCGAGGGAGTAAGGGGACAGAGCACTGAGCGCACACCATGGTTAGCTGTGTTGTCTTGTGTTGTCTTGTTGGGTAAGAGTCGATTCATGAACAACCGGCCAACTTTGCCGTTTTAATCCGAGAAAACATTTCACAACAGCATTCATAACAAAGGCTCTGGGTTTCAATTGATTGACAGTACTTTTGCCAATTAGATTGATTCCTTACAAAACCGTCCAGGACCACAATTTAAATTGTGTCTGCAGAGAGCACAATTACACAGTTGCTGTGGTAAGCATTGCGGTGTTTTAAAATGTTGCCATCCCCAGTGCTGCTGCTAAACAAATGATTTGGCATGCTGCTGTGTTGTCAGTGATGCACAAACACAATTAACAAAAAGACTCAACACACTTGCCAAAAACACTGTGGCTTTAAAAGAAAAAAGTTTGTGATCGGCTATATTTCGAGCAGTGGTCATTGTGCTACGAAGAAGAGCCATTGCCTAAAACGGTGCCAATTACATATATATATTTTTTTAAGGCCACAGTGTTATTGAGAAATATTTTTTTTATTTTTTTTCTACTGCCACCGACACACTCAGTGTCTCCATTCACCATGATGCACGATGACACACTCGAATCTGCATTCAACGTGCCTAACATTGCAATCGCTGGTAGTTTAACTGAACTCAACTGTGGGTCAGTGTTACCTGTTTGGTGACTGTATTCATGGAAGACAGTTTCGCATTCATACGTGTCGTTGTACATGTGTACGGGAGCTGCGATGGCAATTTTTTAAAGCATACCTTCTCAAACAGAGGATAATGATGCACAAAGAGAGTGGAAGAGAGCATTAAATACATTTAGATCAAGAAAATCAGAGAGAGATAAATACGCAGTATACAGATGATCAAAGACAGGAAGAAAACAATATAGGCTCTGCAATATAGTACCCTAATCATTCATTCCAGAGTGTCGCATGACAGCTGTTAGTCCAGTGTCAGACTAGGTCTCCGCAACTTACAGGTGTTGAATCCGCTGATAAGTTACTCACGATGTGTAATAGACCTAATAATGAGGCAACCTATGCTTTGAAATACATGGATATTAAAACATCCTTGTAACTTTGAACGAGAGGTGGAGTGGCCGAGACTTGTGTAGTTCCAATTGATTGTGTGTTTTGTTTTCGTTGCCGGTGACTGGGAAGCTCACAGTTTTGAGCCAGCACCTTTGAGTTTGAATTCTGCTTTGTCAGCCACTCATGTTTAAAGTGGGTTCTCAAGTTTACCAAGAAGTCGAACTTAGCCCAGTTACTGCACAAAAAAACACACCAAAGCATGAGATATGTTTTTTAAAAAGTAATTTGATGTATTTCGGCCTGGAATTTAAGAAGAAAATAGTTGTATTTGTAATGAGCCCTCTGGAACGTATGAGGAAGGAATGTATGTGTGTTGAACCTCTTTCGCACCCTACGTAGCCAACCGTGCTCATTGGTTGGCCATTGTCTGACACAGGGTGATGCACCGCACACTCAAAGAGTTCCAAATGGAAAGGTTCACTTGAAATGTAATTAGGAGAAAAGAGCAAAAGTATAAATACTACATCTACCTTTTTCAGAGAGAGAGAGAGACCATTACGTGGAGACTGGTGAATACAGAAACCAATCTGGGTTGAGCACACTGTTCACTCAAGAGCTTGATGGTCCTGGTTATCTCAATGCTTTGTGGGAGAACTTAGCAAGGCAGTCACATAATTTGCACGTGAATTACAGAGGCTTTCTGATGTAGATGTGCAATAAATCAATTTCGCTTAGAAGTACATTAATATTGCAATAAGTGAGTCACCTGCTTTGAGTGTTGATAAAAAAGTTGCTTATTCCAATGATGCATTATGTAACAAAAAAGTTAGGTTCTCTGTGTGTGAAGAATTTATCCTTTTTTTGTTTTAGATTTGTATTGTTTACATTAAGTTCATTTTGGGTTGTATTTTCATTTCACCTTTGTCTATTGTGAACAGAAACAAAAAGACCCCAGAGAATAATGATGGTAGCCCTTATATTGTTAAATAACCCTTGCAAGGGGTTGCTTCCGTTGTGTAACGGTTGGCACACTGGACTTGCAATCCAGAGGTCATCGGTTTGATTCGATTCGATCTCTGGATGTGGCAGGTTGAAAACATTGGTGCAAGGTTCTTAAATCCCACTGCCTCTGTCCACCCAGTGGTATAAATGGCTTCCCCACAGTTAGCCGCGTGTGCTCGGGCAAAGAGTGGCTACTCCCACCTCTTCACAAAATGTCTCGCCAGCAGTGAAGAGTTGGCCAAAAACACCCACTCGAGTGGCTCTTCAGAGCTCCCTGTATTGGAGGACCATTTGCAGCAGTGGCGTGAGCAAATAATTGCAGGGCTGCACCTTTAATGCCGCGGTGGCGAGATGTTAACTACCTCGCCTGGTGTGCAGGAGGTCGTGGGATCGATCCCGACACTGACGCCTGTTGTACATCTGGAGTTTGCGTGTCTCTCCCCATGGTGGCATTGATTTTTCTCCCAGAGTCCTCCGGTTTTCCCCCTCCACATTTGGAAACGTTGCGTTTAGAGTATTTGGCTGCTATAAATGTCCACGTGATAAGCCACTTTGTTGAGTTATCACTTGTGGCCAGGTTTCTTCTGAAAAAGAGCTATATAGCTCATTGGGCCTTACCTGGCAAAGTAAAAAGTTGAGTTTAGTTTACCTTTTGACCTTTAAGGCAAATTGTGTGAGAGGCAAACCGCTGCCTCGTATTGTATCCCTAAGGTCGTGGAGTGGTCGGTGGGCTCGTTGAGGCCCGGAGGGGCCTAAATCTGCTGCGTGTGTGTTCAGGATGGTGAGGGCGATATGCCGCACACTATGAAGGAAAAGCGGAGGACCTCGGAGCCACCAATGTTGGAAAAGAAATGTGTTCCTCCTCTACCTGTGGGTTCTAAAAAAATGAGCTCCACATCCCCAACTGCGACTGCACCCAGCTATCCACGTCCGCACTCCGGCTCGATGACACTACAACCTCCGCAGATACAGCATAAAGCCCCTCCTGTCACACCCAGGCCTCCGCACACCCTCTCAGCCAAGTAAGTGTCACCTGCGCACGCTCTTCCAACCAGGTAGACATCACCTGAACATACTCTCTAACCAGGTAGATATCACCTGCACAAAGTCTCCCAACCAGGCAAGGTTCACCTGTGCAGATGCAGGAGCACATCTCACGTTTGTTTAAATGTTAGCTTATCAAAGTCCATGCTTGACTGTGTAAGCTTACAGGAAATAATCATTTCTTCTCACAGTTTGTACAGATAATAGATGTTGCATTTCAATTTAAACTACGTCGATTTTAAGAACCCAGTCCTGACTACTTGAAGCATTATTGTTACGTTAATCTGTCCTCGAATCAAGTTAGAAGTAATTTATTATAATTAATTTAATATGTATCCTAAATGGTGAATGTGGTCAGCTGGCTAGTATTTACTTTTCTTAACTACAGGTATGTCACATCAATTCATACAGACACAAGATTCACAGAAGACTGAGAAAAAAATGCTGAAAATTGCATTTGGTATACAATTAGCAGTAGAAACCAGCCATATAAGTGGGGACGCCATATCTATAATCAAGGTTTTTGGGTTAGATTGCATAAGTATGTGTCGTTAAACCTGCCACCACCCGACACAGCCAATTCGTCATGTTTGTCACGTAAACAAAACATGCCAATTCGTTACTAGTACGGCACACCGGCATGTTACGGATAAATTTTGGTCGAGAAAGCCGGCGTGTTAAACTGGTGCACCATATTCTTGGTTCTTTCGGTAAAGTCACGTAGAAGGGAAACAATAAAATAATAAAAAGATAAAACTATAAAATTCTCACGACGTTTCGACTGCAACACAAGCAATCATCATCAGGTGTGAACAACACAGCAAGAAAGTTTGAAAAAAGTGGCGTTTTTTTCTTAACGTCAGCACCACGGGACAGCGATTTTGGCAGTTGTTCAGATGGACGAGTCTATCTATGTTCGGAAAAGAGGAGGGGGGAGAAGAAGATAATGGAATGCGGTCTGAAAGTCACCGTAAGCGTGAACACAATTAATTAAGACGCGAAATGGTTTATCAAATCCTTCCAATGATTGCTAAGCCAGAATCCATCTTCTCGGGTTGAAATTGTCTCTGTGTTTGTATATGTGGATAGCCTCATGAACGAATCTCTCATGCATGTTGGGGTAAAGCATGTATACTCCCACCCCTTGCAGCACGTCTGACCAGTGTGGAAAATTATGCCAAAATGTCCTTCTGAGTGGCTCTCTAGAGCTCCCAATAGTGGATAACATTTTTTTTGTAATCTCAAGTTCTATTAGGTGTCTGGGTGACTCGAGTGTTTGCCCAGACAAAACAAAGAGAGTGACATCTGTGTTATAGTGTAATTGTATAATGATAATAAATCCATTGATACATTTTTTTTATTAATGCCAGTTAATGTAATCACGTAATGCAATTTAGCGATTGTGAATTGGCGATCCTATTTTATTGGCATTTGTAAAGTTCACAATAATAAACAAGCGTCAATCGACGTGATGAATCACAATGGGCAGTGCAAGCCTGCCTCACCGGATGAAATTAAGTGGTAAACAAGCTTTACAATAAACGTGTTCATATGAAAGTGGGTGTGTGTCGACTCTGGTGGCAATTGGAAATTTCGGCGCAATAGGTCACTCCTCAATTTGGAATTCCGAGCCTCGCTTGATGCCAACAACTTGTGTTCGTCAGAATTAATGAGTTTAAAACTAAGCATATATCATCGAGGGGATTGAGATTGGGGGTTTCGAGAGAGGGAGCAAGGGCCTTGGGAGTGAGAGGCAAAGATTGTGTTGTCAAGGGTGGAGGGGGGGGGCGTTAAGGGTGGCTGGGAGTCTCAATCTCTTTCGAGAAAGCGCCCATTGGAATGTATTGAAGAGGGAGGGTGTGTTGTAGAAACCCCACTTGATAGAATTTTGCTCGAGCCTGTCTTCTCAAAGAAATACGCTGTGAAATGAGTTCACGACAGTGCACGTCACCGATTTATATTAAGACATCAGTTTTTTTTTTGTCACAGCACGTAAGCTGTCCCTCTTTTTGAAAGTAATGTATTCTTATTATTTTGATCATCGGAATACCTTAACCAGGAATAACACTCAAGATGAAAAATCTTGTTTTTTTGTGGCTGTCCTCAGGACACGGTGAAATACCAGAGCAGCCACCGGCAGTGCAATTTATAATCAAGGCACACCCCGGGAGATCCGTGCAGGGCTTGTCGTGTTTACTGTGCCGTACTGCAGATAAAAGACAGCCGCAGTAGAAACGTAATTTTCCTGATGCTGTTTTCGGACATTAGTACACAGGATGTCTGTGCAGATTGTGTAGCGCTTGAAAGTGCATATTTCATCGGCTGCCTGTGCACATTATGCAATGCCTGAAAGTGTACATGCATCCATTGCCCTTCTTTAGCACGAATTGTACAGACGTTTATAAATCTACTGCTGGATGTAGGCCTCCCCATGCATTTTGATCTTGCCGATTGTTTAAACATACTTCACCATGCAGGTCAGTAGGTTGGTGAAGGGGTTGCCCAGCTCTGTTTAATATATCACTCACAACTGGTGTTAGCTGTGGCCAGTGATTGAACTAATTTTGACAGGTTCATAGCGCAATACGCAAATCACTGCACCACCACTCCAGCCTAGAATATAATTAGTCATATCCAAATGTATAACACGCACACAGTGGCTCTGTTTACTCGATTACAGTTCCTCGAAAAGAGTACTTGTATATACAGAGTACATGATTTTATATTTGGTGTGGTAAGTAAAGGTTCAGCCCTGCAATTGCTTGCTCATGCCGATGCTGGCGGAAGGCCCTCCACTAGAGGGAACTCTAGAGAGCCCCGCTAGAGGGTATTTGGCCTACTCTTCCACGCTGGCCAGACATCTTGGAAGGGATGGGAGTACCCACCCTCTACGCCACCACACGCGACCTGCGTGCGCAAAGAATTGGCCTCTGCCAATGCAGTCTTGAATAAAACACGTTCTTTGCCGATGAATTACTAGCATCCACTGCAGTCATTTCCATGCTGCGTGATCGCCGCACTGCTGCTTGTTTGTTTATACGAGTTCCCTTCCTTTCAGGGGCCGAGAGGCACCAGCAGCAGCAGGGGCGAGTCCACAGCCCGGAGGGACACCACCACCCCTGTTACCGCGGGGGAAGAGCCCACAGTCACCCAGGCAATGAGCGGGAGGTACAGTCAGGCATACCAATGGGGCCTTCTCCCACATGGGACCGAATGCAACTTGAAGGGTTATTTTAATTTTGTGTTGGGGTGTAATTGCAAAACTGTAGTAGTAATAATAATATGCAATGTTCAATGTCGTGCTAATTTAAATGTGAAAACAAATCGATGAAAGCGTTGCACACCTGTTTTGATTGCACGTGATGTATCACACGCCAAGGTTGTGTTTATGTAATGTGCGTGCACCGAAGCTCACACGGATACACGGGGCCCGTGTGTGTGTGTGTGTGGACTGCGGTTGAGCCGAAAAGTCAATACAAAAGAGGCACCTTTGGAGAGCTGATAACCTGGAAATACATTCACGGAATAAAAGTACACACTAACAGGCTTCTCATTTTCAACATTTTAAGATCGATCCACTTCAAGCCTCGCTTTTGGTTGGAGGTTTATACCCTATTTTTCTAAAAAATATATCACGATGTTGGCATTAGATTTTAAAATGGGAGGTATTCTTAAAACTCGTTCACAATGATTTATATATATAAAATCCTTTTTGTGCCAAATTAGAGTCCTTCATTATCGCTGTATAGTTCCCCCAAAACCATAGGTTTTTGCTTATCTGTAAAACTGCCCTTGCAAAAAGTCTGACATGTTCTACACACTTATATAATTCACGAAGGCATGCATACTATAATATAAATGAGACAATCATCTTTGCAAAGTTTTGGCAAAAGGTGAGCAATTGTAGCATACACCGTGGTGCTGATGACATGCAGACGCATGCCTCTGTGTCAGCGTAATGGTCACTCACCAATTCGGAGGTCCCAGCGTTTTTTTACGTTTGTGTTTTTTCTTTAAATCATCTGCGTGTACGCATGTCTTTATCTGACCATTCCAGATTTCTCTGGGCTGTGCGTCATGGCAATAAAACTCACTGCCATGCAGCCGCTGCGCTGGATTATGAAAGTTAACATGACTCAACAACATATATGATATATATACAACAATATGACTCAACAACATGTGAGCAGGCTTGGTTATCACAGCGCAGGCAGTCACCGACGAGGTTATTTTGTCAAAAGGATCCGCGTGGAACGCACAATATAGCAACTGCTCACCTTGTCTCTCACACAACACAAAACATCAGTGAACCGTGTGCGAATTTCAGCACTTCGCCTTCAAGTGAAACGTGGTTTTACAATGCAGCGGGCGCTTTTGATTGCACCTGCTGAAAACGCAACAAGTCATCGTGGGTTTGTGCCCGACACAGCAAGTGCAGCTGAGTTGTCAACATTGTGCATCGTGCCCATGACTTGTCTGGTGTCACGTCGTGAATTCACTCTGGATCATGTTTGTGAATAAATTAACGGCATGTTTTCCCCGTGCCTGTGCCTGTCCACCCAGCAGTATGCATGGGGACACCAGAGTTAGTCGGTAGGTAGCTCACTTGTGGTGGGGGGTAAAGTGTGGGTCAAATGTCTGGTCAGCATGGAAGAGTAGGCCAAATTACCTTATCGAAGGGCTTTCTGGAGTTCTCGCTTGTGGAGGCCCTTCTGCTATCTGTGGCGTGAGCCAGCAGCTGCAGGACTGCACCTTTACCTTTTCAGTGTCTGTAATCGGACTTGGCGCTTTTTGCTGTCCATCTTGTACTGAGGGATTTTACACTTTCCTTCAACAACTATGCCCTTTTCCAATATGTAATTGGTCAGATCTAATAATGATCATCATAATGTTGAACTATGTTATTTAGGTCCAACAAACGGCACAGTACTATGCACAAACATAAATTAAGATTTAATCTTAAAAATAACGGCCACAATGCCAGAGATGGTGGGATATGACCAAACACGAGCTATGAGGGATATACAGCTAGATGTGTTTTACTGAGCATGGCATTCTCTACATCCCTCGGCAACACAATGAATGTTGGAAGTAATAAAAAATGCACCCACAATGTGTAAACCTTTTGTACAAGATGCAGCTTCGCTATTGCAGCAGCTCCATTCCTCGGCAGTCGGCGAGGTGGGGTTTGTCGCAACACAAAAACCAGGTCCCAGTTTCCCAGTGTCGAGTTAGCAATGGGGAACAATAGCTACCTCCGGTGCCCAGGGTTGGACACACAATGGCTTAAACATTTTAAACGTCGTCCCCCCCCCCCCGCCCCCCGAGAGTTGCGTGACTATTGATGTATATGGAGATTAATCAATCTGTAGGGCAACACCTATGGGCCCTCTTTTTATGGGACATGAAACATATATTGTTTGCGGCCTTACAATGGGAGTGTAATTTTTTTTCTCTCAAAAGATTTATGGAGGATCATGGGACCTGCGCTTTGGCAGTACCACAATATCAGAATAGGTTTCCCTTTTTTTTTGGCAACAAAACAGGTGGTAAGATGTTAAAACACCAAACTGAAACCTTTTACAAGGAATCATGTCTGCATTAACCACAATACTTGATAATATATGCATTGTCTTTGAAACTGAGATTAGGCACGAAAGAAAGCTGTCTCTGGTATGGACCAATCAGTTTCAAAGACAATGCATATATTATCACAGTATTTTTTTTTTGCATTCTGGCCACAGGTATTGTGGTTAATGCAGACATGATTCCTTGTAAAAGGTTTCAGTTTGGTGTTTTAACATCTTAACACCTGTTTTGTTGCCAGAAAAAAGGGGTAAACCTATTCTCATTTATGGAGGATCATTAACAAAATTGTCACCTTAATCTTCCTGCACCCAGATACATATTTAGTTGTTATGTACCAATGTTATGTGTAAACGTGCATTGAATGTTATTTGTATAATAAACAGTGGATATTTTGTTAATTTTATTTTATCTCTAATAAAAAATATATTGCAAACAAACTGCTCTCAGAAAGTGTATTTGCTTTGCGTAAACAAGCATTATGGCCTCATGTGACTGTTGGTTAATTTAAATGGCACTGCTTAGGCCTAAAGCAATTAAGAACAATTAATTTAGCAAAGTGTACAGTTGCCGAAGGAGCATTCTGGCAAACTATATTGCTGAGACTTGAATAAAATTAATATTCCTCTAAACTATACACAATGCGGTGACTTCACCGTGTGTGTAGTCACGAGTGACCAGGCTGAGTCAATTCACTGCACTCAAGAAACTGATTTAGTTCAGAATCCAGAATCTCAGAAGTCCTGGTTCAGCTCTGACTTTGACTTCTGAGTCAAGAGTCCTGGCTTTGCTCTGACTTCTGATTTACTTGGCTACCAGGCATGTAAACTTTTTTTCGAAAGTGTAAAAGAGTAATATAAGCTTTACTTTTAAAAAGTAAAATCAATTCTTTGGTTCTTTCGGTAAAGTCACGTATAAAGATAAAATAATAAATTAAATAATAGCATACGACGTTTCGATTGCAACACAAGCAATCATCATCAGGTATAATGAAATAGCGACATAAAATCTAACCAGAAAACTATAGACAGACATAAGCAGACAGATGTCACCAAGATACATAGAGAGAGCAACACAGGTACAGAGGGGGGTGATCGTCTCTGTGGGGTGGCCTTAAATAGACAGAGGGGGGCGGAGGCAGTGACTTTACCGAAATAACCAAAGAATAATTCCTGCAGTCACGAAAGCTCCAAAATTAAGAAGTAAAATCAAATGGATTGGTTAACATGTGAAAAACAGCCCGTGTTATCGAATGTTATACGTCAACTTTTTGGGATGTCTTCTGGTGTCATCTGATGAGGCTGTTTATAATTAAACGTCGTACTTTAATTATGCTGAATCAGCAACGAATTGGCATGTTTTGTTTATGTGACAAACCTTACTAATTGGCTGTGCCGGGTGGTGGCGGGTTTAACGACACATTTATATTTATGCAATCTAACCCAAACCCCCCCCCCCCTCTATTCTGGTGATTTACTTGTTGAATTATAACCTGCAATTAGCCCTGCCTGTGCATAAAAAAAAATACAAGAAAAATTGCGCTGGGTAGGACGTGTGCAAGATGGAGGAGAGGGCAACTTTCTAAGACGGGCAATGGAGTGGTTTCCACGAGTCCGGTGACCCAGACCAATACCCAAGAGCAAGAGGGTGGGATAAAACTAACTATTTACCATTTGTATTTTACCAGGTAAGGCCCACTGAGCTTCATCGCTCTTTTTCTGAAGTGACCTGGCTACAAATGATAGCTCAACGAAGTGGCTTATCACGTGAACATTTATAGCAGCCCAAACACTCTTAATCTCGTATTTCTAAAGGTGGAGGGAAAACATTGGAGGACCCGGAGAAGAATCCACGCGGTACTGTTAGGACAGATCATGGAGGTCACCTACGTATTGTACATGCAGCAGCTGTGACAGCTGGGCAGAGGATCGAAAGCATTGGTGAGTTGTGGCGGGCATCAATGACTTTGGCCACAACTACACTGTGATATTTGAACTTGCACATTAAGCACGTGTGCATTTTTAATGCATGTGTAATAAAAGGACTCAGACGCTTCTTTCTGACTTCGTGTCCTTTATTGGGTTCTTGTCTTCTCCCATACGGCACTCTCTTATAGACACTGTATTTGTAGCCCCCGGCTGCTGTCGCTATTGTAGCCTCCTTCCTCTCCCCGCAGACTCTCTCCTTTCTCTATTGTAACCTCTGTCCTCTCCCTGCAGACTCGCTGCTTACTCCCTATGCAGATCCCCGCTGCTTACTCTATATGCAGACCCTCTTGGCTGCTACTCCGTGTGCAGACCCGCTGCTGACTCTGTATGCAGCCCCGCTGCTGACTGCAGCCTCCTCGCTGCTTCGGGTCGGTCACCGCTGGCCGACGGTGCCGATCCTCGCTCCCTCGTGCCCGTGGCGATCTCGCCACCCTCCGCTTTCGCCCTTCGTGGCCTCTCGTTCCTGGTCCCCCGTCACTCCCCTATCCTCTTCCGGTTCCCCTCCCTCTATAGCTTAACCCCTCTCCCCCCACGTGACCTAACTCCTCCCCTCATGACGTCACCTCCGGAGGGCCGTTTACGCCCGCATTACACATGTTTGCGTTAAAATGGTTAGGCGTGCGTGTGGTGTCAGTGGAATTTACGTTGCGCCAACTTTACGGACGATTCAGTGATCTGCGAGCTGGGATAAGGAGGCTCTCAAAACATCTTGCCGGTAAATGCTTTTCCCCGTCCTCGTGGGAATACAAAGAAGAAACTTTAAAGCTTTGCAATCAACCATGGCTTTCCGGCGCAGCCCTCTTTCGTTCAGTAATAAGACTTCTAAACATACCATAAAATATAATATAAGGTTTGATTTAACTTTTTAAGTGTTCAGTTGGGTTTAGAATGCATTGGAAACGAAAGTACTGCACAGTGGATCTAAATACACTCTGACATACTTTGAGAGATAAAATTATTTATTGATTTCATGTTCAAGATGTGTGGCCTGTGCGTCTCTCCCCGACAACCGAAAGACACAACACGTGCAACTGAATTATACTTTACAATTGACACACTTGGCCTAAACGGGTCATTGTGTTTGCTTTGAGGGAAGATAATATTTATTTTCATTTGTAACTATAACTTGCAGTGAATAGTGTCCCCAATGCTCATAGGAGCTGTTTTAAATTGATGCATTGCAGTAGAATGAATAAGCACCAACACAAGTTGGGCCTGGCAGTGTTGTAAATGACACACCAGAACAATCGTCAATCTTGAGTTGTGGTCATAAAACAATCATGAAATGGGAACGTGAACTTGATGACCTGAGACATTCGGGAAGTTGGCATCGTCTGAAGTGAGGTTTTAACAACATTCGTACCGGAAAAAAATGTCATGTTTATATAACCACACATGACCGTTTTAATTGGTCATTGCCAGGTGCTTACAATAACAGTTTTATTAATTAAAAGTGTGATGTTTTTCCTTTTTTATATGAAGGTAAATACATGAGTAATAGTGCTTTATATAAAGCTTTAAGTGTTGTAAAAGCACTAAACCAATGACAATTTGTATCCTGCTCAAGCTGTAATACATTCAAATTTAAATGCAGTCACAGGAGTTTATACATTCGTAAGAGATAGGTGCTACGTCCTTAACCACCATAGTATTATTCTACCATCTCCCATTATCCACAGCAATGTTGCTGTAACATCACGATCAACGCGTTTTCCTCTACCCCCTCTCTACCCCTTGCATTTGCTGCATATTCGAGGCCTTTGCATTACTCTACGGCGGAAGCAAGTGCCCGGCTGAATGTGACAAGATAGGGTCAAGCACAGGTCACGCTCCCAGACAAGCAACCGGTAATAGGCAAAGATGAGAACAGATGTACATTACCATCACTTTGGAGTGGAACAACACGCGCCCCAGGGGACCCTCTTGATTTCGGGTCGGTTACACATTCTTGAAATCCAACGCGTGGATCAAGGTCTCTCTATTTGGTGGGTACAAGCACACGTGCTGTATGTCTGCTGTCGGCAATCACACCCGCACTATAAAAATAGGGCCGTGTGTTCGCCGGCTTGATTTGGGTCTTGGAGAAAGAATGGACGCGGGTGGGCCCGGGGACGTGCGATTTCACGTTCCACCTCTGCCCCCCCCCCCCACCCCCTCATTATATGCCACCGGTGTTTCCAAATTAAGTGGCACTTTTCCAGAGGGAAGAAACTTTGCTTACCTATGCTGTGCATAGGCTATGCACAGCATAGGTAAGCATAGGCTATGCACGTATATCTCTGTGCTAAACCTGCGCGCCATTGGGTAGTATTCGTGGGCATGGTGGTGGGCCACGCACGCTTGTAAATCCGGCGCTGTGGAGGTGCGTGGTTGGTGGCTCATCGCACAAATTGCCGTGAAGCTCCTTTCCCGTGGGTATTGAGGTGCGGAACAGCAAAAATGTAGAATCTGCTTGGTCCATATGTATGGGATAGCGCGTTCCCCTGCTCACGCGCGTGGGTGCTCCAGTTTCCTGCCGCATGTAAACACGTTGATTGGCCGATAACGCCTTAATATTTAGAGGACCGCAGAGCTTGGGAAATTGTTGACAGTCCTGCCGATTGTCTGGTTTCTCATGCCTCCGGGTCATTCTCCCTCTTCGCGAGTGAATCCTGTGAGCGTTACAAATTGACATTGTTATTAATTGCCGAAATTAATTAGCAACCAAAATAATTGTCAAATAAAGGAAAGCTGTTTTCGCGTAAGCACTTTGCTTGACAAAAACTTGTTTTTCACGTACGAATGGGCGACCTGACATTATGTAGCTTCCTCACACCTGTTTCCAATTACTGCACACGTGCAGTGCATTATAAGTGTGCATTGTCTGAACAGTTGTGTGCACACGTTTAATCGTCCTAAGTTGCTATATAACCGTTTGAATCGCTTCACACGACCATTTGTGGAGTTTATATTTTGCGGCATCTCGTCTCATTCCATTTAGTACTTAAATGGACAACAAAAAAAGCCCATGTTGCAATCCTTTTGTTAATCCCCTGCTGGATGAAGGCCTCCCTGCACCATGCAGGTCGTGGGAGTTATTCGACCATACTTCACCACGCTGGTCAAAGAAGGTTCGTGAAGGCGGGGAAGATATATGGTGGGTGCGTAGATAGCAGAGTTCATCCCGACCCTGACGCCTGCTGTATATTTGGAGTTTGCATGTTCTCTCCCTGGTCGCGTGGGTTTTTCTCTCCTGGTCCTCCGGATTTTTTCTCCACATTTAGAGTATTTGGCTGCTATAAATGTTCACGTGATAAGCCACTTAATTGAGCTATAATTTGTGGTCAGGTCGCTTCTGAAAAAAAGCTTTAAAGAGCTCAGTGGGCCTTACCTGGTAAAAAAATTGTTCATACAATGCAATCGTCATCAGGTGACAAAATATAGAGATAGAGCTACTGAGACAAGAAAAACAA